ATCCAGAAGAGGACTCCCTACAATGCCCTGAGCTGTTCTCACCATCCGGGTCAAGTCCTTTCTGTCCTGTGCAATGCAGCTCCCGTACCACAATATGTAGAACATAAAGACACTAAGAAAAACCCTGAGCAACAATAGTCCATAATTTAATTATTTATTATAGAGCTTCATCTACCTAACTGCAGTATCATTTTAAAGTGTCAATAACAAACATTCAAACTGCTTATAAGTTACTAGAACTAAGAAAATGTTTGTCTCGGCAACTATTAAACCAACCAAGTAACAATGACATGAAACTGAGAAAAAAAACAAACAAAACAAAAGCAAAAAGACAAAGCAAGTCTTCATGGACGCTGAGACCAGCTAACATGTGGTATTTTAGTAAACTGTGTTATTACGCACATAAGGTGTCTTCAAAGCTACCACTGATTAATTTTTGCATCAAGGGACAATTAATTTAATGCAGAACCAAGCTGACATGCAGATGTCTGTCTGTATACAGTGTATGTGAAAGCCTAACAGTCAGAGGTAGAGATACAGTCTATCCATAACGAATAGAGAAATCAGTCTTATATTTGTTTTAAATGGGTCATTTCATAACAAAGTTATCTGACTACAGTGACCAACTGTTAATGTGCAAATATATTGACCTAAATGATTTTGGTTCCCATACAGTGTCTGATGGTTGACTACATCTAGCATCAAATCAAATTTAGGGAATCAAACTTTTATACATAATCATCAGAAAATGTTAAAGTGTAAAATTTATGCTGATGAAGGTTCACTCTGGTTAAATACTAAAAGAAACTGGTCTGTTTGCATTTGAGAATGATGTAAAATTATTTATTTTATCAGACATTTCATTTTATATCTACCTTTTTCGTAGCAATTGTGAGAAACTGTTACAGAGGATGAATCCAGAACTGTAGAAGCAATATGTACAGTAAACATAACATAATGCCTTTTAATGGTATTTGCTCCCGACTTAATGTTTTGCTGTTGTCTCCCATGGAAATTCAAAACCAAAGATGATGTCAAGTGTATGGCAGCTACAGACATGCCACATCACAGCGAAATACTAAGAATAATCGGATAACAAAGGAGAGAAATACTGAACAATTGATTGGCATTTACTGGGCAGAGCAACCACTGTTTCTAGATGTTTACACTGTGGCACAAAGGGCCCAAATGCTTCAAAGGGTTTAGTATGTAATGGAAAATAAAATGGCATGACAGTCTCGAACCTGGGTGACCAAACACTAATTTTTGTCTGGCTTTTTTCTCAGTGTCCTCCCTCTTTGCTGACAGCCAGTAAAATCCACAAAAAGCACAGAAACAAACTTATTGCAATTCACAATGACGAAAGTGCACGAGTCCATCTGCAGGTGAAAGTGCTGAATAAACACTCGAGTGAGTGAGTTTAGTCCAAAAAGGTAGATAAAAAGAGCCATGAATCGGATATTCCACATACTGGGGAGGGAAATCACACAGCTGCTGGAATAAGGACGATGGCACAGAAGGACAGAGGCAATGCTATAACAAACAGATGAACAGCTGAACTGGTTGTCAAGCATCCTGCCAGGGTCTGGATTAAATCATGCTGAAGTATGTAGGCCAGAGAGTTGATGAACTTCCTACTCACTGGAACACAGTACATACGTACCTACTCCAGGAGGGAACACAGTTACTGGCTGAAGTTATATCCAAGACACAGATGTAAACAAATACAATTAAAACACAGTCAGAACTGGAAAGCACTAAGAAAAAGCATACATCCACCAAGGTTGTAGAATGGTCCACATTTGTTATTGTGGTCACAGAAAATGAATGTTTAATCTGCATCTGGCTCTCAGCAAAACAAACACTAAGAAAACAAGCATAGAAAATGTGGGACATTTTTTCTGAATTAAACCTAATAGTTTACGAGGAAATAAAAAAGTATATTAAAAATGCCCTATCTCAGAGCGCTGACAAGTTCTGTAAAAAATCTACTGCCCCAGGAGTCGTGACAAACTTTTTTATGCTAGCAGACAGAAACAAATTAGACCAAAATGAGAGCTTCCTTGGAGGAGGCAGTGAGAAAGACTACACGCCTCATCCTGGTATATAGAATTTCCTTTGCCAGAATCAAAATGCATGCAATTTTTTTATCACGTATGAGACTTAGAAA